TATTTCATATTTACTGTGATAATTATACTTATGTATACCTGTACCTAAATAAACTTACATACTGTGCTAGTGTGCAGGCACATATTAAAATCAGTCTCTTATATCTCAAGACGTCATATTAGTAATGATGACAATCACCGAGTCTCATTAAATGTCGTATATTACGTTAATATACACATTTTCATTAATCCATCCATGATATTTTTTTCAAAATTATATAATAAACACGATACATAACATAAAAAGATGATAAATACACCCCACAACAGAATAAATAAACAGAAATATGAGATGTCGTAGCCAGATAACTTGTGCAAGTGACGGCAAGAATAACATTTTCTCTAGTCTAACATAAGAGAAAATGTGTTACTGGGGGTAACTGCAGAAATTTATTCCTTTCGTATGTATGTAAATAAGTTTATTCAGGTATACACAAATACAGTTACATAGATTATTGTACATAGCAGCATATGTATAGAGAACCTAGGATAACCCCAAAAAAGTCAGACAGAGTGACCTATTTCCATTGCCTTCACTCAGAGTGTCATTTCTTCTAAAAATGGTGTTACATGAGAATGGGAGTGTTGTTGTTTATTTATTCTACCGTATCAATGTAGAGACAACTTGTACACAAACCAGACGTGTACACTTTGTTTGTTTACAAAACTTACGTTCACCTGGTTAGTTTACATAACTCTGCGCTTGTCCTCTCTCATTTATTCGTTTTATCTCGTTTACTCACTCCTGACCCTACATTAAGACTACAAATATTTTAAGGTAAGTAATGAGTGAACTGTATATGCATTTTATCACTCTGGATGCTTAAATATCATAGAATATATGTGTAGGTGGAATGGCCTGGTATGGTAGCCCGGCTGACTACCATACATACCACACTTGATTTCTTACAATAAATACTACTTATCTCACCCTAGATTAAGACTATAAATATTTTAAGTTAAATAATGAGTGCACTGTGTGTGTATTGTAGTTTTCTTTTTATTGTTTTCTGATGCCTAGTTCTATTGCTAACTTAATATATGTTAGTGTAAACTTGTTATCTAGTATTTGTATGCATTTATAAGGGAAAAAAAAAGGGTGTTTCACTTTACAGCAATTTCCGCTTTATGGCAGTAGCCTGGAACCTAACCTGCCGTATAAGTGGGGCCCTACTGTATTTTCATCATCTAGTTGGGGAAATTTCAACATATTTTTTTGAGAAACTTAGCCAATGTATTCCCACTATACAAATCAAGGTTGAAAGGGAAATAATCAACTACCATTCCTAGATAGGCTTATCATCAAAAACAATGCTTAGAGTTTTCAGTTTACAGAAAAAGTCACTTACACTACTATGTCCATTTCTACAGTCATTTAGTACAAATTAAGAAAAAACTTATGACCAACCTCTTCTTGCAAGCACTTAGAAAGCTCATCAAATTCAGACCTGGAAATATTCTCCGAGTACAATTCTTAACCCTTTCAGGGTCGGCAGGCCCTCTCCTAAACTTGTACTCAGGGTCGAAAATTTTTCAAGGAAAAAAAAAAAAATTTTTCTTATGAAATAATATAGAATCTTTTCCCAATGATAATGACACCAAAAAGTATGAAATTTGATGGAAAAATTACAAATTATGCTCTTGCGAAGTTAGCGGTCTTGACGATGTTTACGCATCGGCGATTTCACCCACTTTGAGCCCTATTTTCGGCCAATTCCAATGTACCAGTTGACAAAAATCATTATTTCACTAGAACTCCATTTTTTCTATCGAATGAGTACAAGAAACCACCCATTTACTGATTTCAACTATCCAATAAACTGGTCAGAAATTGGCAATTTTGCCAATTTCCAAATAGGGTCCAGAATAAACAAGACATTCCTGGTACTAAAATAACATTTTCTCTGTTCATTAGTCATGTCCCCAGGCCTCTCTTACATTTCTTTTGCTTTCTACTTTGAATTTTTATTCTCACAAAAAAAAAAAAAATAGATTTACTGTTATGCAGACTACTGCATTAGTGTAGAAATGGTATAAATAATATCAGCTCACTTGTGAAAGAATATTAGACTTACCAGTTGACGTGTATTGGATGCGTGGCATGATTTGTTTACTTTTGAACTTCTGCAAAAATCGAACATTTCTGCTACTTTCACCTCAATTTCAAGGTTCTTTTCAGTGTGAAACCAATCAAAATCATCTCAATTTCCATAATATGTCTTCCATTTTATAAAACGAGACCAGGAAAACTAGAATACAACCATAAATACAGTGCAAAGTCGCTGTTTTAAACCAACAACACGGTTGGAGTTTTTTTTTCTCATTATGCACTGTGTGCCGCAGGATTTTTTTTATACTGCGCACACTGACCACATAGACCCATTCTTTTATATGTAGGCCTACCAGCTTTCTCTCGCTAGATTTGGAGACGCTAGAATTTATGCGTACTAGTACGGCACCAACCCTGAAAGGGTTAAAACTAAGATAATCAGATTGGTTTATCCAACTAGCGGAGAAGAAAGTCACAGTTTTATAAAGTTTCAACTCAAAAGGCACTCAGTCCACACAAGCAAGTCACAGTTCATGTAACCCTTCAACCAAAGAACGGTTAATTGACTTAAAAAAGTAACTAAGACAATCTCTTTCTATCCTAAAAAAAAAAACAAAGTTTACAAGAAACATAAACAACCTGTTATACACAACAAGATACACCATGAGTATATCAGGTCCCATGTAATGAGTGTAAACTGGTCTACAATGGTCAGACTAAAAAGACTTTATTACAGTCAGTGATACTAATTGCTAAAGTAGGTAGAATTACCGACAATATGTAAAATGTCACATTAGTTGTACTTGTGTCCTTTTACTTTACATAGTATCACTGAATACAAGAATAGCAGTTTGTTTTGGGAAAGTGTTTGGCCCTCTTTCAACATGATACCAGAAGCTTCCAATTCATACTACTACACACAAATGAGAATGTAGCTACAAAAAGAAAATCGTAGAATCAGTTCTTATAGACTACATCTCACAAAGGACAACTGAAAATGGATGTAGTTCAAAAATTTGCTCTCCATAAGTGTAAGCCAGCAATCAACTTGAATCAGAATGACAGTGTAGGTTCAATTTCCAACAGTGGACCTGGAACAATATAATGCAGAGATGTACTGCAGTAAGTCTACTGTAATATATTGGGTAGTTCCTACTCATACTCAGCTGCTCATACATCTGCCTAACCTATTGTTTTTTGCCTCCATGAAGCTATTTAGGGGATGGTTACATTTGCATGTGCAGTCCTGACCTGATGCTCAACATGACATTGTCTTCACTAAGGTGCTTACCTTTTTTCTTTATAAACATATTTCCAGCTCAAATTTTGTATTTTCTGATGAGGACTCCGGTTGGGGGCTGATTATGTATACACATTGGTTATTCACTATTTTTTTTAAAGATAGCAAAATTCATTTTAAATATGCAGCAATTATAAAAATATGTATAGAACACCAAACCCACAGGAGTCACACTGCACCTTGGGAAATAAGCAATCAGGTTCAGTCAAAGAAGCGGACTGCAGTTCCATTTCCTTGGGTGAAATTATATCTATCCCTCTAGGCATCACCTGGTAGCTTTAACCATACATAAGGTATATTATCAACTTATTAAATGATTTCAAATTTTCATATACAGTGTTAGTTAGTTATTAAACTAACACTGTATATGAAAATTTGAAATCATTTAATAAGTTGATAATATACCTTATGTATGGTTAAAGCTACCAGGTGATGCCTAGAGGGATAGATATAATTTCACCCAAGGAAATGGAACTGCAGTCCGCTTCTTTGACTGAACCTGATTGCTTATTTCCCAAGGTGCAGTGTGACTCCTGTGGGTTTGGTGTTCTATACATATTTTTATAATTGCTGCATATTTACAGTGGGCCCCCGGTTTTCGTCCTTAATCCGTTCCAGAAGGTCGGTCGAAATCCAAAATGGATGAAAACCGAAGTAGTATATCCCATAAGAAATAATGTAAATCCAATTAATCCGTTCCAGACACCCAAAAATATTAACAAAAAATAACTTAAGTTAGTAATAGAACTAGGCATCAAAAAAACAATAAAAAGTAAAATATATACACGGTACATTCATTGCTTACCTTAAAATATTTGAAGTCTTAATGTAGGGCGAGAGGTGAGTAGTATTTATTTGTACAAAGCCAGTGTAGATAGCCGGTAGGTGTAGCCCGCCTGGGCTACGCCTACACTGCAGCCCAGAGCCATATTATTACCATCGACATACCACGTTCACTGAGTTTAACCGTTTCTAACAACTACCTTTAGGTGCCATCATAAACAAAGGGAGAAGTAATGAATCATTCATACCGAAAATTGTAAACAAAAGCGTTATGTATTAAGGGCGGTGAGGCCAAAGCAGATTTATACACGTTTTCTCTAATGATGGACCAGAGAAAACGTAATGTTTTCCCTCCACCAACTACCACCCTTCCACTGCATATAAACATTGCATGTTTATACACAATTTAATGTGTTTCTTATATAATTTTGAAGAAAATATCATAGCTGGATTCATGAAAATGTCTATATTAAGGTAAAATATGACATTTAATGTGCCCAAGAGTGATTATTATTACATATTAGTATTATTACTATGACATTAAGACTAGAGGGATACTCTTAATGAGTAACAAAGACATGTTTATATGCTATATAACGTGTTTCTTACATAATTTTGAAGAAAATATCATAGATGGATTAACGGAAATGTCTATATTAACGTAAAATAAGACACTGAACATGCCCAAGAACGAGTCACGAACGTTTATGAGCAGCCCAGGCGGACGTGTCTAGTACAGACGATTTCCGAGCAGATGTACGAAACCCAAGGTAAAATTTCGCTGAAAAAGTGGTCGAATTCCGAATTGTATGACTTTCACGCTGGACAAAATCCGGAGGTCCACTGTATCACATAAATAATTTCTAACCTTCTTCACGTAGGGTACGTTGGGGTGATGCTTGACTGGCATGAAGTAAAGGATTAGCCGCTCTAGGAACTGTATACCAGCAGTAGAGGAAAGACCCATGTAGAGGAAGATGCCAAACAGAACTGCTTTTGGCACCATATTAAGAACAACTGCCAAAAGCACCGACAATCCAATTAATGCAGACACTATTAAGGCACTGACTCGTTGCTCTGCAAGTAAAAATATAAATTAGTTATATTAACTAGGGAAGACAGGACTGTTTGCATTTCATAATGCAACCTTATTATAAATGGCATGGTATACAATACTGACAGGAAAGACATGCAACACTTATGTATCCTTACTGATAGTGTTTTGTCCACAAAGGCTTCATCAGTTGAATACAGCATTTATAACAACACAGACTAGTAGTATGGAGGTAATTTGGGAGATCAGTCCCCAGCCTTGATAGGAGGTCAGTCTAAAGTAGAGGCATGCAGCCAGAGACTTGAATAGTGGAACCAGAAGCAAGGTGTAATAGGTGAGAAATGGCATCACAGGCAAGCAGGGGCCCCTCAATTGGATGTAGGTCATGCTAAACAGTTGTTAACAATAGAGTTGTAGAGGGCATTTCCTATATCATGATACCATGGTGTTCCTGTTTGATGGAGCAACACCATAGTATCTTGGTTCAGGGAATGTCTTCTACAACTCTCTTGCTAACTATTGTTTGGCATGACCTATATCCACTAGTGGGCCCTGCTCACCTGTGACATCTCCAAGCTAATATGCCTTACTTATGGTTCCAATATACAAATCTGTCCTTATTCTTCTGCTTTAGACTAAGGGTTAATCCCCTTCTATCAAGGCTGCAGGATTGATGAAACACATATGCAGCCGAAACAAAAAGTAAACCCAAGGGTTGCTCAAGTCTTACTAATCAATGAGAACTATATTTCAAGATACAGTATTTTCCATCATAAAAGATGGATGTATTCTAATTTGAGGAATATTTGCAGAAAAACTTTTTTAATATTACACGCTCCACTATCATAACTGCATTACCTGTTATTCTTAGGACACCAATGGTGAGAGAACTACTGAAGACAATTTATTCAGTAAACACTACTGCACTGTCTCACACATAGATCATAAAGTAGTAAATATAATTTACACAAGTACAGAGTGGTGGTGTGTAGTGGCAACCTGCGAATTATCACAATCAAGGGAACAGTGCTTAACTTACAGTGGTCCTACCGCTCATCAGGAATAGGAGGCAATCTGGTCTGAGCTAAGAACAGATCTACCTTCCTGGAACAAGAACCCCTAACTGGCATTAAGATCCCTAAAAGGGACAAGTCGTAGTGTGATACTAGCATGATGAGGAGTGGTTGTAGAGTTAGGTAACTTGTTGTGGATGGTTTGTGGCATATGGTAGTACTGTATTGTGGAGGGTTATAAAGCTAGTAGCATGTGGAGCATTGTAGACTGTCATCCCCTCAAGGAGGTTTCTAGATGGTGGGAACCCCTTGATCTAAGGTACTGGACCTGTCTTCTCCTTAACTGGATCTAACTAAGCTGACTGCCTCCAATTTCCTAGGAGCTACATGATCCCTATGGGTTTAGCGCCTCCGCCGAAATATCATGTACTGTGTAACATTTTAAAGTTGTTGTGAAGTGCAATGGCAAGTTGTCAGGGGGTTGTAACATGTGATAAGTTGTGGAGGATTGTAAGGTGTGATGGTATGTTGTGGAGAGTTGTAGAATGTAATGGCATGTTGTAGAGGGTTGTAAAATATGAAGGCACACTGTGGGAGACTAGCATAATGTAGAAGGCTGTAGTGTGATGGCATGTTGTGGAGGGTTGTAATACACTGTGGAAGGTTATAGCGAGTAAGAGCATGTTGTAGTAGATTGTAGTGATGGGTTGTGGAAGCTTGTATTGTGATGGCATGTTGTAAAAGGTTGTGTGTGATGGCATGTTGAGGGTTGTACAATGTAATGGCCTATTGTGAAGGTTTGTAAAGTGTTGTAGTATGTTATGGAAGGTTGTAAAGAATGATGGCATAATGTAAAGTGTGATAGCATATTGTGGAAGATTGTAAAGTTTGACAGCCTGTTGTAGGGATGGGGTTCCAGAATGTGAAGGTAAGTTGAGGGTTGTAGAGTGTAATGTCATATTGTATAATCATGTAGAGGGATATTCCTTTTAGCTTTCCATAATAAGAGTTCCATTGACAATAAAGGCTATTGTTTATTACATACCTTTAACACCAATAATCTTAGGAGATTCTCCAGGAGCATGTGTTGAGCTCATGACTGTTAGCGCTGATGTATGAGAGACAGTTCGGACACAAGCTGGACCCATGAAAGGTGCACCAAAGAGTCCAGATACTAAGTTGATGAAGCATGAAAGAACAAGGTCCCAGTGGAATCCTGATCCTTTTACCATGTTGCGCTCTGGCTTGCTCAAAATAAGGCTGGTAAAATGAAAATATAAATTAAGAACCTTACGTAAGTTTTTGGCAGGTGGTTTCAACATATATACCCAATTATTAACCACTTAAATTATTAAATACTTCAGTTTCTTCTTTGCAGAAACACACATACAGTACATTTATATATAATGAATAAAAAATAAAACCCCTTCTCCTGTATATATTACTAAATTTAAAAAGAGAAACTTTAGTTTTTTCTTTTGGGCCACCCCACCTCAGTGGGATACGGCTGGTACGTTGAAAGAAAGAATAAAAAATAACTTACTGGCAGATATTCTCTTCAAGGAAGACAAGGAAAAAGAGTAACAGTGATGCTGGTGCAGCAATGAACATGCACCACACAGGCAAAGGCTTGGTTACACCTAGGGGGTTAATCAGCCAGCCACGGACTTCAGGATTAGAAGGCTGGATCCCTTCAGGCATGGTCAGCTTGTCTGTGTACGTGTCTTGAATCAAATAGTCCAACAATACCATAAGAACAATAGAGATAGGCACACCAAAATCTCCCAGAGCACGACGTACCTGTTGGCAAAATAAAGCCACTGTTTATGAGAATTTTGACTAGAGTAATATCTCAGTAAATACTTGTATAATGCTGTATGCACTAGGAATAGCTTGCTTTTCAGGTATTACCTGCAATCTTTGTGTATAAAGAGACAAATGTTTGCCACATTCAATATATAAAAGGCCCAAAAATCTGGAATTCATTACCTGTGAATATAAAAGAAATGCTGTCTGTTTATAAATTCAAGTCTTTTCTTAAAAATCACTTACCCTCAACTAAATAAATACTGAATAATTGTATCTCATAAATGTTTACCCTGTGACCCAATCAAACTTTGTTATTTTTAACTACAATACCTAACAGAATACTCCATTCTACTGAATGCACAGCAACATAGTAAATGACAATATGACCTGTCTTTGAAATACTCATTTGCACTTAATTGTTATTTGTTTCCAATAATGTTTACCACTGAATATATCACTGCTTAGTTAATCTTAAGTTAATTTTAAGCCTGCCCATAATGCTCTGCATACAAGAGGCTTTGGCATGTTACACTTAACCACTGTATTTCCTTGTACAGTACTTCTATGTATCATGTTCAAATTAATAATAAATAAAGTGGTGCAAAAACTAATCACAAGAATTTCATTTCATTGATGTTTTAATAAGTCTAACTGAATTTAAGCTGGCTTAAGTTTGGTAGGATTACGCTAAATATTACATTTTTTATAAAACGATTCAATGAGGTAACTAAGTTTAGGTGCAAAGTTAATAATTTGTACACCATGTTGATACAAAAAATGATCTATAAATGTATGACAAGTTTTCTAAAAGAATTTTCAGGGGAGTTTGGATTCTTTGACTGCTTAAACACCACACACACTTGTATGTGAGTATAACAGTAACTAATGCATGGTCATGAATAAACTTGGGGTCTCATTACACGGGACAAATCAGTACAAAAACATTTTACGTATAATCTCCATATATGAACAGCAATACTGTGGAACTCACACTTCTTCCTAGGTATTTTGAATTACGGAAATGCTTCAGCTTGTAAGCTATGATGAAGGTTCCCAGCATGAGGATCAAGGATAAAAGAGCAGTGTTAGGTTGCGGTGTCACCACAGAACCAACTTCATTTCCATCAGCATCTGTTCCATTGACCAGAGTTCCATTGATGATCACGCCACTTATACTGATTGAGAGAAATACACCAATTAATTAGTAGCACAGCAACAAATGTATTATACAATCAACATTTAAGAGAAAAATAAATACTGTTTACTACTAAGGTCTGGTTCTCAAGTCAGACTCAAAAAGTCTGTCTGAACAATACAATTTTTCAAAGACTCTTACTTCAATAAATTTTCTTTACCTGTCTAACTTATTTTGTTTATTTAGTATTTCATATGTGACACTCTTAACAATTTATTACACCTATCATGCTGCACTGTTATCTACAAGATTACATTACATAAGATGAATAAATGATAAAAAATTTACTTACTTTCTCTGAATGGAAATGTTTTTACCTCAAACATTTGCTCATTTCTGCAGTACCATTTGGAAGTCATTTTCATAACTTTTTTCAACCTGGCTCTTAAGTGATATACAAGTGCTAGTGAATATTTTCACACAACTGTTTTCTGAATAACTTTTCATCCTTTGCTTCACTTATACCAGTAGCTTGTCTGTTGTATACTAAAGGGCTCTTGATTCAAGGAACTAGTTACCCTCTCATTCCATGGATCAAACCTGATTGTATCCCATTTTCCCAGATGCTGTATGTGACCCCCTATGGGTTTAGCACTTCCCCATGATAATGATCATCTATTATGGAGTGTCTAATACTCCAATTTTTTATACTCTTTCCAATATACACATGTGTAAGGCAACTAATTTTTTCTATGCAATCTTTTATCTGTTAGCAATTATCAGTCACTTCTTTCTTGCAATAACCAAACTGATAATATAGAATACAGTGGACCCCCGGTTAACGATATTTTTTCACTCCAGAAGTATGTTCAGGTGCCAGTACTGACGAATTTGTTCCCATAAGAAATATTGTGAAGTAGATTAGTCCATTTCAGACCCCCAAACATACACGTACAAACTCACTTACATAAATACACTTACATAATTGGTCGCATTCGGAGGTAATCGTTATGCGGGGGTCCACTGTATTTCATCTTATGTTCTGAGTGGTGATGCCAGATAAAAAAAAAATATATATTTTATCAACATCTTTGGTCCCAGACTACTCATCATCTTACCAGGAGATATCAGTTACACTGCCTGGACAAATGTAGAAGTCTTAAGAGGAAACTAAAGTTTTTTTTTTTTTTTTTAACAAGTCGGCCGTCTCCCACTGAGGCAGGGTGACGCAAAAAAAAAAGAAAATCCCCAAAAAGAAAATACTTTCATCATCATTCAACACTTTCACCACACTCGCACATTATCACTGTTTTTGCAGAGGTGCTCAGTATACAACAGTTTAGAAGCATACACATATAAAGATACACAACATATCCCTCCAAACTGCCAATATCCGAAACCCCTCCTTTAAAGTGCAGGCATTGTACTTCCCATTTCCAGGACTCAAGTCCGACTATATAAAAATAATCGGTTTCCCTGAATCCCTTCACTAAATATTACCCTGCTCACACTCCAACAGATCGTCAGGTCCCAAGTACCATTCGTCTCCATTCACTCCTATCTAACATGCTCACGCACGCTTGCTGGAAGTCCAAGCCATTTGCCCACAAAACCTCCTTTACCCCCTCTCTCCAACCCTTTTGAGGACGACCCCTACCCCGCCTTCCTTCCCCTATAGATTTATATGCTTTCCATGTCATTCTACTTTGATCCATTCTCTCTATATGACCAAACCACCTCAACAACCCCTCTTCTGCCCTCTGACTAATACTTTTATTAACTCCACACCTTTTCCTAATGTCCACACTCCGAATTTTCTGCATAATATTTACACCACACATTGCCCTTAAACAGGACATCTCCACTGCCTCCAACCGTCTCCTCGCTGCTGCATTTACCACCCAAGCTTCACATCCATATAAGAGTGTTGGTACTACTATACTTTCATACATTCCCTTCTTTGCCTCCATAGATAACGTTTTTTGACTCCACATATACCTCAACGCACCACTCACCTTTTTTCCCTCATCAATTCTATGATTAACCTCATCCTTCATAAATCCATCCACCGACATGTCAACTCCCAAGTATCTGAAAACATTCACTTCTTCCATACTACTCCTCCCCAATTTGATATCCAATTTTTCTTTATCTAAATCATTTGATACCCTCATCACCTTACTCTTTTCTATGTTCACTTTCAACTTTCTACCTTTACACACATTCCCAAACTCATCCACTAACCTTTGCAATTTTTCTTTAGAATCTCCCATAAGCACAGTATCATCAGCAAAAAGTAATTGTGTCAATTCCCATTTTGAATTTGATTCCCCAAAATTTAATCCCACCCCTCTCCTGAACACCCTAGCATTTACTTCCTTTACAACCCCATCTATAAATATATTAAACAACCATGGTGACATTACACATCCCTGTCTAAGACCTACTTTTACCGGGAAGTAGTCTCCCTTCCCTTTTACACACCCTAACCTGAGCCTCACTATCCTCATAAAAACTCTTTACAGCATTTAATAACTTACCACCTATTCCATATACTTGCAACATCTGCCACATTGCTCCTCTATCCACTCTATCATAATGCCTTTTCTAAATCCATAAATGCAATAAAAACTTCCCTACCTTTATCTAAATACTGTTCACATATATGCTTCAATGTAAACACTTGATCTACACATCCCCTACCCACTCTGAAACCTCCTTGCTCATCTACAGTCCTACATTCTGTCTTACCTCTAATTCTTTCAATTAATAACCCTACCGTACACTTTTCCTGGTATACTCAGTAAAACTTATTCCTCTATAATTTTTAGTCTCTTTTGTCCCCTTTCCCTTTATATAAAGGGACTATACATGCTCTCCGCCAATCCCTAGGTACCTTCCCCTCTTTCATACATTTATTAAACAAAAGTACCAACCACTCCAACACTATATCCCCCCCCTGCTTTTAACATTTCTGTCATGATCCCATCAGTTCCAGCTGCTTTACCCCCTTTCATTCTACGTAATGCCTCACGTACCTCCCCCACACTTACATTCTGCTCTTCTTCACTCCTAAAAGATGGTATACCTCCCTGACAAGTTGTGATGACATGTGGGCCTGTGGGATGGCAATGGCAACAGCCTGGTGAACCAGACAAGCTGGGCTCTGGGAGTAGGAAAACTCTCAAACTCAACAAAGGTATATTACAGGATTACTCTTCCCTCCAATCTAACACTTCCTTCTGTTCACCCCAGAGTTACACTCTCTTAGTGAATCTATTCTGCTCCAGTCAATCTAAATAGCCAAACTGTCTCAACCCCCTTCTCTGCTCTTATAATTACACCTTTCATACCACCACAATGTCTTTTAATTTTCATAATAAGTCCTCTAATTTCTATGTTCCTAAATTTCTATGTAATATTCACACCACACCGATCTCAAACATGGTATCTCCACTAGCTTCAGCCTTTACTTTGCAACAATATTTAAAGATCATGCCTTGCCAATATTAAAGCTTTGGCATTACTACACTTCTGTACATTTCTTTTTTTTTTCCTTTCTGCTGATAAATTTTTCTTTCATCAGATGCCTGAGCACTCGTCTATTTAATCTCTTATACACCCACCTGCCGACACATCCACTTCCAGACACATATCTAAATACATTCACTTCCATTATATTTCTTCCCTCCCATTTACTGTACAATCTTTCATTGCCTAAACTTTTTTTTTTGACTCATCGCCTTGCTCTTTTTTATTACATTCACTTTCATCTTCCTTTTTTTTTACTCCTCCATCAATTTTCCAATTTCTCCACACACATCAGAGCAACTATGAGAACTCTCACTTCAAATTTGACTTTTTTTTTTAAGTCCACACTTCTTTTTTCTCACAACCTCATCTGTAAATATATTTGACAGCCATAATGACATAGAACATCCCTAAAGCCTATCTTACTTGTACTACAGAAATAGCCCCTCTTCCCTACATACCATAACCTGAGCCTTATTTTAACTCTTTACAGCTTTTAATATTATATTCATGTTGGAGTGTTAAATCCACAGGGGTCATGGGGAAATGGGAGGCAATCAGGCTTGATCTGAGGAAAGGGAGGATAGGTCTAATTCCTTGGATCTTGAGTCCCTCTCCAGTATCATAGTACAGTGGACCCCCGGTTAACGATTTTAATCCGTGCAAGAGAGCTCATCGTTATGCGAAATAATCGTTATGCGAATGAATTTTCCCCATAAGAAATAATGGAAATAAAATTAATCCGTGCAAGACGCCCAAAAGTATGAAAAAAAATTTTTTTTACCACATGAAATGTTAATTTTAATACACACAAACTGAAAAAGGCATGCACAATTAAATGACACTTACTTTTATTGAAGATCTGGTGATGATTGATGGGATGGGAGGAGGGGAGAGTGTGTGTTAGTGTTTAGAAGGGGAATCCCCTTCCATTAGGACTTGAGGTAGTAAGTCCTTTTCTGGGGTTACTTCCCTTCTTCTTTTAATGCCACTAGGGCCAGCTTCAGAGTCACTGGACTTCTTTCGCACAAGATATCTGTCCATAGTGGCCTGTACCTCTCGTTCCTTTATGACTTGCCTAAAGTGTTTCACAACATTGTCAGTGTAATAATCACCAGCACGGCTTGCAATAGCTGTGTGAGGGTGATTTTCATCCATGAAGGTTTGCACTTCAAGCCACTTAGCACAGATTTCCTTTACCTTTGTAGTAGGCAACTTCTTCAATTTCTCTCTCCCCTCCTCTGAACCAGTTTCCTCAGGTTGGCCTCTGCTCTTGAAGTTGATCTATCAGCTCATCAGGGGTTTTAGTTCTTCATTGTCCTCCTCCACCAACTCTTCCACATCCTCCCCACTAACCTCCAACCCAAGGACTTTCCCAATGCCACAATGGATTCCTCAACTGGCACAGGATTCTCAGGGTTAGCCTCAAACCCTTCAAAATCCCTTTTGTCTACACATTCTGGCCACTTTTCTTCCAAGCAGAGTTCAAGGTCCTCTTTGTCACTTCTCCCAAGCCTTCCCTATAAGGTTTACACAATTGAGGATATTAAAGTGATCTCTCCAAAACTCTCTTAGAGTCAGTTGAGTTTCTGAGGTCATTACAAAGCACCTTTCAAACAGAGCTTTTGTGTACAGTTTCTTGAAGTTGGAAATTAACTGCTGGTCCATGGGCTGCAGGAGAGGAGTGGTATTAGGAGGCAAAAACTTCACCTTAATGAAGCTCATGTCCCCATAAAGTCGCTCTGCCACGTCTGTAGGATGACCAGGGGCATTGTCTAACACCAGGAGGCACTTAAGTTCTAATTTCTTTTCAGTTAGGTAATTTTTCACATTGGGGGCAAATGCATGGTTGTAACCAGTTATAGAAAAATTCCCTAGTGACCCATGCCTTACTGTTTGCCCTCCACAGCACACACAAATTATCCTTGAGGACATTCTTTTGCCTGAACGCTCTGGGAGTTTCAGAGTGATACACTAATAAAGGCTTCACTTTGCAATCACCAGTAGCATTGGCACACATCAACAAAGTAAGCCTGTCTTTCATAGGCTTATGTCCTGGGAGTGCCTTTTCCTCCTGAGTAATGTAGGTCCTGCTTGGATTTTCTTCCAGAACAGGCCTGTTTCATCACAATTAAACACTTGTTCAGGTTTCAGTCCTTCAGTTTCTATGTACTCCTTGAATTCCTGCACATATTTTTCAGCCGCTTTGTGGTCCGAACTGGCAGCCTCACCATGCCTTATCACACTATGTATGCCACTACGCTTCTTAAATCTCTCAAACCAACCTTTGCTGGCCTTTTAAATTCACTCACATCATCACTAGTTGCAGGGATTTTTTTAATTAATCCTCATGCAACTTCCTAGCCTTTTCACATATGATCGCTTGAGAGACGCTATCTCCTGCTATCTGTTTTTCATTTATCCACACCAATAAGAGTCTCTCAACATCTTCCATCACTTGCGATCTTTGTTTCAAAAACACAGTTGAACCTTTGGCAAGAACAGCTTCCTTGATTGTCTTTCTGGTGCCCACAATAGTAGCGATGGTTGATTGGGGTTTCTTGTACAGCTTGACTAGGTCGGCTTACGCACTCCACTTTCATTACTTATCAATTATCTCTTTCTTCATCTCTATAGTAATTCTTACCCTTTGAGTGTAGGGTTGGCACTAGAAGCTTTCTTGGGGCCCATGGTCACTTTTTTCAGAAACAGCACCGAAAATACTGTAATAATACGAAATATTCCGAGTGTATGCTTGGATGTTACCGCGGAGGCTGGCTGGTAAACAATGGGACGGGGCGGCACATGTGAGGCTGGCTGAGGGCACATTGGACGCGTCTCGGACGAAAATCGGTATGCGGGTTTTTAATCGGTATGCGCGGCAAAAATTTTGCGATAAAAGTAATCGTTATGCGGAAAAATCGCTATGTGATGCCATCGTTATGCGGGGGTCCACTGTACTTCCCTTGAGGGTACAGCCTTTAATAGCCTGCCACCTATTCTATAACTTTCAACATCTGATACACAGTTTCCCTATCCACCCTATCATATGCCTTTTCTAACTCCATAAATGCAACAATTATTGATTTCTTTAACCCTTTGACTGTTTTCGACGTATAAATACGTCTTACGAGCCAATGTTTCTGACGTATATATACTCAATAATTCTAGCGGCTTCAAATCAAGAGTGAGAAAGCTGGTAGGCCCACATGTGAGAGAATGGGTCTGTGTGGTCAGTGTGCACCACATAAAAAAAATCCTGCAGCACACATTGCGTAATGAGAAAAAAAAAACTCTGATCGTTTTTTTGGAATAAAACGCCGACTTTGAGGTGTATTTTCGTATAGTATTTATCGTTGTATTCGCGTTTTCATGGTCTTAGGTGATAAAATGGAAAACATATTACAGAAATAGAGATGATTTTCATTACTTTTACGATGAAAACGACCTTGAAACTGAGCTCAAGTAGCGGAAATGTTCGATTTTTACCAATGTTCAAGAGTACATAAATCACACCACACGTCCAATACACGTCAACTGGGGGAGTCTATATTCTTTCACTAGTGCATGATATTATTTATACCATTTTTACAATAATGCAGTCGTCTGCATAACAGTAATTTTTGTATTTTTTTGTATGAATAAAAAATCAAAATAGAAAGCAATAATAATATAAGAGGGGCCTAGAGATGTGAGTAATGAACAGGGCATATGTTATTTTAGTGCCACGAATGTCTACCTTGTTTATTCTGGACCCTATTTTGAAATTGGCAATCTTTTTTATTTTGCGTGAAATTGGCGAAATTGCCAATTTCTGACCACCATTTTGGGGTAGTCCAAATTAGTAAATGGGAGGTTTCTTGTACTCAGCTGATAGATAAAATGGAGTTCTAAAGAAATAGCTATGAGTTTGGTCAACTGGAACAATGGAATTGGCTGAAAATTGGGCTCAAAGTCGGCGAAATTGCCGATACGCATATGTCGCCGAGACCGCTAACTTCGCGGGAGCATAATTCCACGAGTTTTCGACCAAATTTCGAACTTTTGGTGTCATTACCATCGGGAAAAGATTCTCTATCATTTCATAAGAAAAAATAATTTTTTTTTTTTCAAAAATTGAGCGACATAGAATGACAGTTTCAGAGAGGGGCCTGAAACAGTCAAAGGGTTAAAAATCTGACAATACTATACAATAAAATAAGAAATAAAACTTACATTTCAGATTGGTTAACATCTACGAAGTTGTATGTCTGCTGAAGGGGATGATCCTTGAAAATTCCTGCTAACTTCACAAATGATTCATAAATGAAGATAAGGCACACAAGTGTTGAGAAAATTTCTTCAGTGAATCTGGTTATTTTCTTGACAATTGCAACAGCTTCAAATGCTGCAATCAGTATTGCAAAAACTGTCATCCAGAAGCCAATCCACACTCGAATGGAGAGGAAATCGAGCTCGTACATCAATGCAAACTATAAAAAAATATATACTTAATTAGAAATAGTTACAATAGAATACAGCAACAAATGCAGTGTAACAAAAAACAAATGATATTATTTTATAGGCAACCAATTACTGTATAGCTAATATAACATTTGGAACATGCATTTATAAATTTTGCATTTAAATAATTTGCCAATACTGTATCTTTACACAAGACATACCTGATACAGACTCATATCAAAGATCATAAGGGGTCCTGTGGCACCAACGATCAGCAGTGGTTGAGCAGCAAACACAGCAAAGATCAGACCATTCACAGAAGAAAATAGAAGACATTCACCAACACCTATGTAGTTATCCATCTTGTCACCTGAATTATACAACTAAATTAAATTTTTTGAAGTACAAGGATACAGTGAAAAACTATTGAAAGGATGCATATTCCTCGTCTATTAAATGTAGTATGCACAATGAATGGTTTACAAAGGGCTTCATGGAAAAAACTCATTACGTATTGGGAAAAACAGTAACACTGTACATGCCCCTTATGATTTTATAGGAGACATGCAGATAATAAAACTGCACTATACAAATATTTTACGGTAACCCAAGAGAGACAATATACAATTATGTTACAAAAACAATTGTAATTCATAGGGGTGTACCCGAGTGCATAATATACATTAGTGGATATCTTACCATACATGCCACCAAAAGTGATGGCAGCTGATAGAGCAGCAAAGAAAATGAAGATGGCTGCAGCAGCCACTTGTCCATCAATACCATCTTTTATGTCTGAGAGATACTGGGGATAGCGGATCTTAATATCCTCAATCATACCAAAGAAAGGCTTTCCAGTACGAATTAGAGGATCTCGCGGCGGCGGTTTCTTGTCTCCCCCATCATCATCCCCTGCAGATACTGGAGATGGAGCTGAAAGGATAAGTAATGGAATGTTTGCAAGAGGTAATGATAGAATTTAAGGAAATGAGAACATGTTGCTTATCAGGAGAATGCTTTCAAGAAGTGTGCCTGGATGCTGGTAAAAGGACCTTGATCCATGGAATTATAGCTATTCTCATATTCCTTGGATCAAACCTGATTACTGCTCATTCTTTATGCACTATATGATTTACATTATCCCTTTCCCTGTAATTATTGACCAAAAAGACAAGAAAAGGAATTAATGTTTTACTCTTTGGATTACTGTACCTTAATAGGAAACTATCACCAATTCAAAAGACAAAACTGTACAGTAGTCCACTTTACCTTGTTCAGATGGACCACGTTTGCTTCTCAAACTTTCCTTTTTTTTCATGATTTGGTGAGCTTTGGCTCGGATATCATCAATAGGAACTAGGTCTTTGTTGTTCCATTCAGAAGGAGGTAGAACAATGGAAGTGTTCAAAAATTCATTGATGGCAGAAAGGAGTTGCCCACGCGAGTGTGCACGATATGCCACTTCATGAAATCCTTTGTCAGACATAAGGGTGGAGATTGAACGACCAACCTCATGGTAATCCATTTCACCATGGAATGGTCCAAGGAGTACAAACATAAACCTGACTGGGATGGGAACCTAGAAGAAAAAAGAATAAACTTCCATTATGTGAGGGAAGCGAAGGCTTCTGCTATTTGAATGCATAATCTGCTGGACCAGCATACTGCACAGCTAACAAATTTATCAAGCTTTGGAGAAGTTTTACTGACCTCAACAAGATTATCCATCATGACTCCTTCAGCTAGCCTTACGAAGGCAATGGTAGGATGCTTCAGGAAGTCCACAGCACCAACTAATACAGCTGTGGCTTCAGCACCCTCAGGAATCTTCTTCATCAGTTCCTTATTCTTGCGTATTTCCTCCTTTACATCTTTATGTGTCGCATCACTTTCAATGTCAATCTAGGGGAAAACCATTATCATTACTGCCATGACAATATAACATGTAGTACTCTAAAATTTTTTTTACCATAACCATAAATATAACACATACTTAAATAACAAAAAGGCACAATACCGTGACTGGAACGATACACAAATAACCCGCACATAAAAGACAGAAGCTTACGACGACGTTTCGGTCCGACTTGGACCATTGACAAAGTGTGACTTTGTCAATGGTCCAAGTCGGACCGAAACGTCGTCGTAAGCTTCTGTCTTTTATGTGCGGGTTATTTGTATATAACACATACTTCTGTATTATATTTATTTAATATACTCACGTGGGTCATACAACACAAAGAGAAGTGGAGGTTCAACCCTTTGTCCAGTTAGTGCAAAACATAATCACAGACATGCTATTTACTTGTACTTCTATAGTTCAAGTCAAGATAGAATCCTAATACAGAATTAGTTTTATGCACAGGGCCAGAAGCTAAGTCTCAACCTTGGTAAACACAACTCAATGAGTGCATGTGCACACACACAGTATAAACCACTACCTATGATTTACAATAAGTCAGTGGATACAAAACAGTTACTAAAGATCTGGAAGACAGCAAATATAGTTCCTATATATAAGAAAAGAGACAGGAGTCATTAAACTACAGACTGGCTTCTCTGATAAGCATACCTTGCATGTAACTGACATGGGTTCAGGGATGGCAAATCTTGTTTTACTAACTTATTGGAGTTCTGTGGCAAAGTAACAGATGCGACGAGAGAGAGAGAGAGAGAGAGGGTGGCTGGATTGCATTCTTTCAGACTACAATAAAGCATCTAATACTGTGCCCCACAATTACGAATAGGCATGTGTGTGTGTGTGTGTGTGTGTGTGCACACACATATGATAATATAACTTTATAATGTGATTACAGTTCTGTACACATGAAGGTGAATCCCCCCTCCCCCTTCAAAACCAGAAACCAATGTCACAAGTTAAGGGGCATCAGGAGGAAGACTACAAACTATCATTGAGACGCAAATTAACGAAAGAAGTCCTTTAACAAGTAATGTACAGTATTTAAGATTAAAAAAAAGTACAAGCCAATCTTTCCAGAATTGTGGGGTGCTGGTGAACAGCTTTTAATTCAAGGAACTGGAACTACCTTTCCTCTCCTTGGATCAAACCTGTACCTCTCATTCTCCAGGCACTGAACGACCCTTACAGGCTTAGTGTTTTACTGTGAATAATAACAATGATAATATGCTTTTAATCTCAACAAAATGGTGACTGAAAAAGTATAAATAACTGGCCAAATGTAAAATCATCCTATGAAAACCCTCATGGCCAATGCCAGGGCCAGAATTTCTGTACTGGGGAGAAGGGCATCAAGAGAAGCTATCTGGTTGGAAGGTGAGTTAGACTTGTTTTGAAACAGCATTATTATTATTATTTTTACTTGGGAGAGCTTTAGTTCCTGTCCCCTTGGCACTGCCACTGCTTATGGACGGTTACAGCGCTAGGCCTATTATTTGCATGGTCCATTGTAAAGTCCCTGTAAATTGTTCAGCTTATTCAGTGACAGTCATTCATTACAATTTATCTTTAGTTTTCAGACTATAGAGGTAACAAAAAAAGACACAATACCGTGACTGGAACGATACACAAATAACCCGCACATAAAAGAGAGAAGCTTACGGCGACGTTTCGGTCCGACTTGGACCATTGACAATGGTCCAAGTCGGACCGAAACGTCGTCATAAGCTTCTCTATTTTACGTGCGGGTTATTTGTGTACTATAGAGGTATGAGAACGGATGTGCCTGGAAAGCTGTGAGTGTGGGATGAGACTATAGGGTTACAGCTCATGGCTGCCGCTACAACCATGTTACAAAAATGCTCATAAAATAATTCTATTAAAATCCTCATGGCTGAATGGTTGGTGTTAGTGTTGGGCTTGCTACTTGCATAGATCATAGGTCGAATCCCGTTTATTTTTGCTTATTCGCTGGCAGCCGTTTATTATGACTTGAAGTGTCTGTGTATATATATGAATGTGTTTACCTGGAGTCGCCACCCGATCTTACATCAGGTCTCCTGTTTGCTGGCCTGATCGATCAAGCTGTTAGTACCCACTGCCCACAGTCCAATGTATGCTCTACAACCCGGCTCATCGGGAACTGTTTTAAGGAAGCTATAGAATTCCTTTTGAAGAAAGTTAGGGGTTTGTTGGTAATCTATATGCATGAAGGGATGGTGTTGAAGAATAGTGGTCTTATACTACTTACAGAGTTATCTGTCAATGTACTAACTGCTCCCCCCCTCCTTCCCTCCGTTTTTCACCGGAGGTGTCCTACTCCATCTCCCAAGCCTCTGTGTTCATAAGTAGTATTCTTGGTGTGAAGGTTTGGGATCAACCCCTCCAGTATCTTCCCCGTATACATTCTAAGTTAAGTATTAGGGACTTCCAGAGCTCAAATGTGCTTGACTGAGGTTTATACGAGCTGTGAGGGTTCTCTGTACATTTCAATGCGCCATTTATTGTGAAATGTCATAAAGGTCAGAACAGCAACACAGTGCAGTATCTAATATTGGTAAAAAAAATTATGAACGATACAAAGAGTAATGTAACGCCTACCACATAAATATACCACTGGGCTAATATGGACTAATAAGGAAAATTATTAATTCTTGATTAACCAACATGTATAAGAGATGTATAAGACGAACGGTTATGTGAAACTGACAAATTCATAATTAAAATGAAGCCATATGCAGTAAAAAAAGCTCATGGGAGACGATATTATTTATTCTCAATCTAAATATTCCTGGAAGTGTTGCACTACAGTAAGTAGGAGTGGTGTAACTAGGATTTTCACCTGGTAAAAAACGGGAATTGGGGATGGTGGTGGTGGTGTGTGTGTGTGGGGGGAGGGGGGAGCCTAGCCAAGGACACAGTGGAGGCATTCTTCAACGGTCACCGCCTTAAAGGGGAACTCCCGTTTCCAACACTTCCAAATGAATGAACATACTTATATACATGTAAGTATGCATGCATAATATATATATATATATATATATATTATATATATATATATATATATATATTATATATAATATATATATATATATATATATATATATATATATATATATAAAATATATATATGTATATATATATGTATATATGTATATATATATATATACATATGTATATGTATATATATACATATGTATATATGTATATATATACATATGTATATATGTATATATCATATGTTATATATATTATATATATATATTATATATATATATATATATATATATAATATATATATATATATATATATATTATATATATATATATATTATATATGTGTGTCGTGCCGAATATGTAAAATTGGTCAATTAGCAAGAACTCATTTAAAATTAAGTTCTTTCTAAAATTTTCTCTTATACGTTTAAAGATATATTTTTTTCATTAATGTTGATGTAAAAATTTATAATTTTGCACCAAAAAGAACTTAGAAAACTTACCTAACCTTATTATAACAAAAACAATTTATTTTAGCCTAACCCAACTAAATATATTTAGATTTGTTTACAATAATTTAATACTAACAAACATAGTGACATATTTTTTTTTCGTTAGGTTCAGAATGATTTTGGCGAAATTACTCACACGCAAATTTTTACTGTCCTATATGGCAGATGGCGTTGCTATTTAAGCCAAAATCGCAAGTTCTGCTATTCGGCACGACATATATATACATACATATATATATTTATATTATATATATATTATATATATATATATATTTATATATATTATATATATATATATATATATATATATATTTATAATAGGTTGGGGTCACCTCTGGTGTAAATTGTGGGACCACAGCCTCGGAGAAGTGGATAAAAAGGCTTCAAGGAAGAATATTTGGATATATATATATATATATAATATTATATATATAATATATATATATTATATATTTATTATATATATATATATTTATATATATATATATATATATTTATATATTATATATTATATATATTATATATATATTATATTTAACTCAGTTATCAAGAACTCATTTAAAATGAAGTCCTATCTAAAAAAAATTCTTATACGTTTAAAGATATATATTTTTTAATTTATGTTAATGTAAAAATTAATAATTTTGTACCAAAAGAACCTTATAAAACTTACCAAACCTTATTATAACAAGCGCAATTTAATTTAGCCTAATCCAACTAAATATATTTTAGTTAAACCATACCCCCGGCCGGGATTGAACCCGCGGTCATAGAGGGGGTATGGTTTGTTTGCAATCGTGTCATTACGATTTCTTGAGTCATATTTTAGTTAAGTTTACAATAATTTACTATTACACAAACAATGAAACATTTTTTTCGTTAGGTTCAGAATAATTTTTGCGAAATTACTGTAGGCACAAATTTTCGCTTGCCTTATTCGGCAAGAAAAGTACTGTTATTTAAGCCAAAATCGCAAGTTTTTACATATTCGGCATGACATATGTGTACTCACCTAATTGTATTCACCCAATTGTGGTTGCGACATACAAAATACTGAGAGGAATAAATAAGGTGGACAGAGACAGGATGTTCCAGAGATGTGACACAGTCACAAGGTGTTACAATTGGAAGTTGAAGATTCAGACGAGTCAAAGAGATGTTAGGAAGTATTTCTTTAGTTGTAGAGTTGTCAGGAAGTGGAATAGTCTGGTAAGTGATTTAGTGGAGGCAGGAACCATACATAGTTTTAAGACGAGGTATGTTAAAACTCACGGATCAGGGAGAGAGAGGACCTAGTAGCGATCAGTGAAGAGGCGGGGCCAGGAGCTATGTATCGACCCCTGCAACCACAAATAGGTGAGTACACATCTTCTGAAGCTGAATGATAAAATCATCCTCAAATAGCGACAAAAAAAGAGGCTGTGTATTTAGATCACCGTCTATTTTCAGTAGTAGACGGTGATCGAAATACACAG